GGGGAAAGAGAAATTAGGGAGGGAGAGAAATTAAGAGGGGGGGTGAGAAAGAGAAATTAGGAGGGGGGTAGAGAAATTGAAATTAGGAGGGGGAAGAGATATTAGGAGGGGGGAAAGAGAAATTAGGGGGGGAGAGAAATTAGGAGGGGGGGTGAGAAAGAGAAATTGGGAGGAGGAGAAGGAAATTGGAGCTGGAGGAGAGATTGACATTCATCACATACACACAATGCACCCCTTGCACACAGAAAAACACACAATGCATTACACACACAGACACACATACACAAGTAATGCAACCGTTACACACAATGCATCCCTTACACACACAGAAACACACAATGCATTCATTACACACACTCAATGCACCCCTTACACACATTCAATGCATCCCATACATACACAGAAACACACCTTGCAGCCCTTACACATACAAACACAATTTCACACAATGCATTCCTTACACACATATCAGGACATCCCTTACACACTCCACCCCCTGTGAACAAACTCATTGGTGGAACATGAAGGTGGACCCTGGGACCCAGACCTTGAGCTGTGTAAAGGACCCCCAAAAAATGGAGCTGCTTCCCGTTCTCCCAGAACATTTATTTTTGTGACCACAGTTACAAACCGCCTCCAGAGAGCCTGTTCTGCACCAGACCAGTGGAGCCAGACTGCAGCTAGAGCCCATCATCATCCTCATCTGGTTGTAAGTAGGCAATCTAGTATATTATTTGTGGCACTAAGCTCTAATTTACCTCACATTAAAGAAACACTATAGTCCCCAGAACCACTTCAGCTTAATGTAGTGGTTCTGGTGTCTATAGCCTGTCCCTGCAGGCCTTTTAATGTAAACACGGCGGCACTGCAGCACTGGTGTTAGTTAACATGGCATATCATATGGGTGGGGCATTGTGATGTCACATGGGGAGGGCGGCAAACTTTACTTTTGCCTAGGGTGGCAAAAATCCTTGCACCGGCCCTGGCTGGAGGGGGCTATGTGAGCTGTGGCCGCACAGTGTCCCATGGTAGTTAGGGTGCCGTGCGGCCAGTACAGCTCACACAAGCAAACAGCTGATAAACTGGCTGCATGGAGGAAATGTGTATGTGTGACTGTCTGCCTGTAACTGAGTGTGTGACTGTCTGCCTGTAAATGTGTGTGTGGGGCTGCAGGGATTTGCAGAGGATCCGCCCCGGGTGCCAAATGCTCTAGGTACGCCCCTGACTAGAATAAGAAGCACCAAGTGAAGTCTACCTTATTTTAAAAAAATAATAATAATGTAGGTATTAAACATGTGATTATCACCTTAGCAAGATATGTCTAGGTAGAGAGTGAAGAATAGGCCTACTAGCATTTAAAGTTGTTAGGTATGTAGAAGAAACTTGCTTAGCAAGCAATATGTACTCGGTGTGCTTATTGGTTCTAGTGAGTTAATGAGGATAGAGTGACATGAAATATACTATTATAGACTTGCAGGTAAGTAATGGGGAGCCATAATAGACAGAGAAGGGTATTATGTACCCTAGCGGTCATGCTTCAGCCATTACAAATTTTGAGTAATGAAGTTAACATAAAATAACTTTGTAAACATATTGCAGGTATAGTATGACATAAAGAAAAAGGTGATATGTTACCAGGGTATTTAGCCCATACCTGTCATGTAATGGACACTTTCCCAGCAAGTAAGAAGGCTTGAGACCCATGCAGTAACACCCCATCAGCCACAGGCCTTAGCAACTCTTGCCTAAAACCTTGATCCAGAGTTGACTTTGCACCATGTTCTAATCAATTCCATCAACCTTTTTCCTGGACCTGGGCTATGATGTAATGTTGTACAGTTGTAATACGCATAACCTTGACTTATTCTTGTGCTGCTACTTTGTATCTCAGCTTACCTGTTATAGATTTCTTAAAGTGACATTTTTTTATGTGAGATTGACTATGGACTTGTTTCTGTTAATATTATTGGTCCTGAAATATATCTGTTATACGGATATGTACAGCATACTGTGACAGCTACTGTTAAAACTATCAATATTTTACTTATGTACTTAAATATTCACTCTAAACAGCACCACAACCTATATATTCCACATTAGTAACACTTGACACTCCACAACCTTATTGACAAAGTTGCTATTGGTAAAGTCGAAGGAGAACTTCTGCTTAGCAATATCTGTTAAAAGGGGCCTGACCACAGGAACCCAGAGGACACAAAAATAGTTTGACTCTTAACATTATTGACCACAAAAAGAGATTGTATTGGAGGAGATATCATACTGACTTCTTCTAAAGCAGAGCAGATGCCTGCAGCAGCAGTCTCAGTGCCAGAAATGAGGTAAATTAAAATAAAATTTTTAGTAGCTAACGGGGGTGGACAGTGCTGTCAGTGACAGACCGGAACCTATAGTCCCCCAAAAAAGATTATTTCTGGACTATACAGTTGCAAGAAAAAGTATGTGAACCCTTTGGAATGATATGGATTTCTGCACAAATTGGTCATAAAATGTGATCTGATCATCATCTAAGTCACCACAATAGACAATCACAGTCTGCTTAAACTAATAACACACAAAAAATGAAATGTTGCCATGTTTTTATTGAACACACCATGTAAACATTCACAGTGCAGGTGGAAAAAGTATGTGAACCCCTAGACTAATGACATCTCCAAGAGCTAATTGGAGTGAGATGTCAGCCAACTGGAGTCCAATCAATGAGATGAGATTGGAGGTGTTGGTTACAGCTGCCCTGCCCTATAAAAACACACACACCAGTTCTGGGTTTGCTTTTCACAAGAAGCATTGCCTGATGTGAATGATGCCTCGCACAAAAGAGCTCTCAGAAGACCTACGATTAAGAATTGTTGACTTGCATAAAGCTGGAAAGGGTTATAAAAGTATCTCCAAAAGCCTTGCTGTTCATCAGTCCACGGTAAGACAAATTGTCTATAAATGGAGCAAGTTCAGCACTGCTGCTACTCTCCCTAGGAGTGGCCGTCCTGTAAAGATGACTGCAAGAGCACAGTGCTGACGGCTGAATGAGTTGAAGAAGAATCCTAGAGTGTCAGCTAAAGACTTACAAAAGCCACTGGCAAATGCTAACATCCCTGTTAGCGAATCTACAATACGTAAAACACTAAACAAGAATGGATTTCATGGGAGGATACCACAGAAGAAGCCACTGTTTTCCAAACAAAACATTGCTGCACGTTTACAGTTTGCACAAGAGCACCTGGATGTTCCACAGCAGTACTGGCAAAATATTCTGTGGACAGATGAAACCAAAGTTGAGTTGTTTGGAAGAAACACACAACACTATGTGTGGCAAAAAAAAGGCACAGCACACCAACATCAAAACCTCATCCCAACTGTGAAGTATGGTGGTGGGGGCATCATGGTTTGGGGCTGCTTTGCTGCGTCAGGGCCTGGACGGATTGCTATCATCGAAGGAAAAATGAATTCCCAAGTTTATCAAGACATTTTGCAGGACAACTTAAGGCCATCTGTCTACCAGCTGAAGCTCAACAGAAGATGGGTGTTGCAACAGGACAATGACCCAAAGCATAGAAGTAAATCAGAATGGCTTAAACAGACGAAAATATGCCTTCTGAAGTGGCCCAGTCAGAGTTCTGACCTCAACCCGATTGAGATGCTGTGGCATGACCTCAAGAAAGCGATTCACACCAGACATTCCAAGAATATTACTGAACTGAAACAGTTCTGTAAAGAGGAATGGTCAAGAATTACTCTTGACCGTTGTGCACGTCTGATCTGCAACTACAGGAAACGTTTGGTTGAAGTTATTAAATCCAAGGGTTCACATACTTTTTCCACCTGTGTGAGTGGAGGGGGGTCATGTGTGTGAGTGGAGGGGGGTGCTGTGTGTGAGTGGAGGGGGGTCCTGTGTGTGAGTGGGTGGTGCTATGTGTGAGTGGAGGGGGGGTGCTATGTGAGGGGCAGGGGAGAGTGTGAGGGGCAGATATGCTGTGGGGGAGTGCTGCAATGATTTCATAATCATTAAACATTATATCCCCCCTCCCTTCTTCTTACCTTTAGTGAAGGGGGGGGGGGAGGACAGTCGGTGGTGGTAAGTGGCTGTATGTCTCCGCTCTCCTGTCCTCCCATGCAATGCTGTGTGGAGCTTTGCCATGGGAACGTGCGGCAACACTCCCCACAACCTGCTCCCTCACCTCAACCTCAGTGCTGTTAAAATATTTCAGAAAGTAAAGACGATATGCACCAAACACATGATAGATTGTATGTTAGATGGAATTTAAATAAGTTTAAATAATTTTTGGTTTGGTTTTATTTGCAACAGAACAACCCTATTATGGGTACCAAGTTTTCACCCAGCAAGGCCAATCTCTGCATGAATGAATGCGTGTTCTGATACTGTGTCGCTTCCGAGGGACATCTGTGCTATGATACCTCAACAATAATGGCCACAAATGTGTGTTACCAATGGACCCACATTAACCCACATGACAACACTTCTGGGTGATGCACGCAACCGGAACTAATTGAAGGAAACCAATGGAGATCTTCAATAAACACCAGGAATTAGTTAATATTAATTATTACACCTATATAAACAGTAACTATGCAAGAGGAGTCCACACTTCAGATGAAACCCCAAGGTAAAATGTGTAAAGTGTGGTAATATAGCTCGTTTGGATAACGTTATTATGACTATTATTGACTTTTATTGTTTTGCTTGTTTACTATTTTTATTTTATTGTTCTCAATAAAGTTACACTCCATTAATTCTGTTTCGAGTACATATGTTATTTTATTTATGTCTACTTCATTTAACTTTATTAATTTGGCTTCCTGTTTCCACATAGAATTCTTTGGGCTTATATCACCAGAGCAGGTTGATGTTCTGCTCTATGTAATAGGATACTTACATTGTACCTTGACATGGATATTTTTCATACTAGTATCATTGGATTTCTCTCACTTATAACTCCAGATATTTTCCTACTATTGGAAGAATATTACTACTGCTGACCACCATATCCTGAGACGGGGATTGTACCATCCACACTGAATAAAGCAGAGCTCTTAGAAGCTATTAAAAGCTTAAGTGAACAATTGACATAAAGTTATACTTCTTCGTTGTTGTAACCTGTTGCACTATTTTTTGTCTATTTATTTTTCTCTTTAAGATATTCAACACTACATAAAAAGGAGGCTCTTTTGACCTACGTATATAGTTGTTTTTATGTATTACTGCACTATTATTTTCTTGTTATCTATTTATAATTTTGTTTTATTGTGTATGGTATGTTTTATTGTCGCCTTGACTACTGTAATCCACTTCACAGTGGTCTTACGTGCTCCCAACTTGCGCTGTTACAGTCCATAATGAATGCGGTGGCAAGGCTCATCTTCCTGTCCACCCGCACCTCCCACGCCTCACCCTTCTGTCAGTCCCTACATTGGCTTCCTGTAAGATATAGGGCTCAATTTAAAATTCTGGTTCTTGCTTTCAAATCTCTACATAATGCTGCTCCCACCTATTTATCCTCCTTAATACACAAGTATGTCCTGTCTAGGCCCTTACGCTCTGCTGAAGACTTACGTCTATCTTCTGTCCGTACTACCACCTCTGCTACCAGCTTTCAAGACTTCTCAAGGGTTGCGCCGTTCCTGTGGAACTCACTTTCCTCCTCCGTTAGATGCTCACCCAGTCTCCACTCCTTAAAAAAAATCAGTAAAAACCCACTTCTTCATAAAAGCGTATCAAACTGTTAATAGCTCCCAACTGATTCCTCTCTTGCAACTGGCATTAGTCTAATACTATCTTTACCTTTTATGTCACTTTACCCCACTCCCTCTAGCATGTAAGCTCATTGAGCAGGGCTCTCAACCCTTCTGTTCCGTTCGTCATACATAATAAAGGATGGGGAATCTTTGTATGATTTACTGCCGTCCTAGCTATAATTTATAATTTGTTGTGCATATTTTTACAGAATATTAAGACTGATATTTTATTTATCCATATAGTTTTCATTTGCTGCTTTTAATGTGCTGTTCTTTTTCAACTTTTTGAATTTTTTTTTTTGATACAGCATTGTGCATTCATTGCTATTGTTGTCATTAGTTTTATTGCTTGCAAGGTGTGTAGATCATCTTTGCCTTTTCTCTGTGAAGGTTTCCATCTACTTGCCATGAGGAGTTTAATCAATTCTGGTTTTGGGGAAAAAGGGACGCTTGATTGGAAAAAAAGTATAAAAGCCTTGTTTGCTGTGTTCACATTATTTTGAATAATTGAACTTTTATTGGCCATGATAGCAATATTTTTTTCACATTGTGTTTTCAAATAGTGATGTACACATTAGGATTAAGACATTAGATAGCTTTTTGTTGTCAACTATAAAGAATTCAAAAATAATATGTTTATAGTTAGTAATTAAATGGTATGTGTGTATATAGTTTTAATTTAACAACTTTTTTTAAGGCGGATTGTGCATCTATTTTTAAACTTTCCTGTCTGCTACTTTGCACTTGTTTGCTTCTTATCACTCATGCATAGAACTTGGAAGAGACAAATAAAAATAAAAATAAATCTACTTGCCATGAGGAATTTAATCAATTCTGGTTTTGGGGAAAAAGGGACACTTGATTGGAAAAAAAGTATAAAAGCGTTGTTTGCTGTGTTCTCATTATTTTGAATAATTAAACTTTTATTGACCATGATAGCAATATTTGTTTCACATAGTGTTTTCAAATAGTGATGTACACATTAGGATTAAGACATTAGATAGATTTTTGTTATCAACTATAAAGAATTCAAAAATAATATGTTTATAGTTAGTAATTGAATGGTATGTGTGTATATAGTTTTAATTTAACAACTTTTTTTTAAGGCGGATTGTGCATCTATTTTTAAACTTTCCTGTCTGCTACTTTGCACTTGTTTGCTTCTTATCACTCATACATATAACTTGGAAGAGACAAATAAAAATTAAATGCAATAGTGCTTCATTTTTTATTTGTATGTTTTTTATTTTAAAAAGAAGAAAAAGATGTATGTTTTATATATGAAACAAATAAGCAAATACCTAAGGGAACACCACTTAGGATCTATGCACCAGTAAAGACATTCCAGCTGTGTCTGCAGGGCTTAACTCTATAATGTCCTCCTACTTCTAGCAGCTGGTGATGTCTCTCCCAATCCTGGGCCCTTCACCTACTCTACACACACTAAGACAACCAGAAACCCCACAAAGCTCATCACAATACCCTGCCCTTTACCCTCACTTACCAAAATTCATTGTGCACTCTGGAATGCCCGCTCCATCTGCAGTAATTTAAAATCAACAACCATACACAACTTTTTCATCTCAAACTCACTCACACTGCTTGCACTTACAGAGACCTGGCTGTCCCCCTCTGATAGCGATTCTCCTGCCTCTTTATGTTTTGGTGGGCTACAATTCTCTCACACTCCCAGACTCAACTGTAAAGGAGGCGGTGTAGGCATCCTTCTCTCCCCTCAATGTACTTTTCAACCATAACTCCCCCTGCCCTATCCTTTTCTTCTTTTGAAGTAAACACTGTCTGCCTATTTAAACCCACTCCTTTAAGAATTGCTATCATCTACCGACCCTCGGGTTATCCTAGACTATTCATTGAGCGCTTTTCTTCCTGGCTTCACCACTTCCTCTCATCTAGCACTCCTTCCCTTATACTTGGGGATTTCAATATCCCAATCAACAACCCCAGTTGCACTGATGCCTCTTGTCTGCTCTCTGTAACCTCCTCCTTTGGCCTTACACAATGGTCCAATTTAGCAACCCATACAGCGAGAAACACTCTTGATCTTGCCTTCACCAACAGGGCCGAACTGGGAATGAAAAGCAGCCCTGAAAAAAATTCCATACCAGCCCCGTAATACATCGCGCCTGCATAGTGCACAGATATGGAAGCAGGAAAAAACTGAAAACTATCACTCAAACATGAAAGAAAGCACTTATAGGGCTTCAAAATAAAGCAGAGCAGATTTATTGTAAGCAGACGCAGACGTGCATTTGCATATAATCCATGTTTCAGTCCAACTACCTTGGTATATTGAGAAATGTTTGGTCATTTGGATTGAAATTGTGAATGTATGCTATTGCACAGCAGTACAAAAATTATGTTATCTTGCTCATTTTGAAGTAACGAGTGTGCTCTTCACTTTGGCCGACAACTGGATGATCTCCCATAGGAAAGCATTGGGAGGCTATTGTGTATGTGTGGCAAAACGCTGTGCTTCACCGCACCAATCAGCATCTCCTCATAGAGATACATTGCATCATT